CAGCCCAAATTGTAATTATTTTTTATATTAGGACTAATACAGTATTGCCAGTAGGCAGATTTCAAAAACCTAACAGGCCCCACACATTTCGCATGTAGGAAAGGTGGGACCTTGTTATGGAACCCTGAGGTAGAAATCAGACATATTCGATTTACGACAGATAGACAGCAAATGCAATACTCGCTGCTAGGAAATATCAGTCAAGTCGTCTATTGTTCTGATTTTGATAACATTCCTTTCTGGTTATGAAGTCTCAACAATTCTGTGCCATAGGATAATTTCAAATATGCTTAGGATTTTCACTTACTGTAGATGAAAACATTAAAAAGAATCCTCATTAAAAAGCCTTCATATTAACTTCCTAAAACATATTGCTCCCACCCATCACTGCAGACATCTGAATGGGGATAGTATCCTAATCTCTCACAGCCTCATTCCTCTTGAATGGTTTTTGTGTTACCACGAAAGTATTACATGGTGATTTCAGGAATGGAGTCGGACCGTAGAAACCGGGACGAGATTGGTGAAGACAAAGCAGGATGAACAGTTTTCTCTTTCTTCTTTTTTTTTCCCTGTCCCTTCTCCCCTTCTTTCTGCCTCCCTCCCCTTTCCCACTCAAATGCCCAACTATACATTTCAGGCTTTCTCTAATTAACATCAGAAAGAGAGGTACACCTGAGTTCCATTGGATGCCTTCTCTTTCAACTGATGGGTGCCCAGTGGTCACAGTCATGCAAAAACATCCACTGAGAAAGTGGTTTCGGGAACTTGTCTTGGGGACCCAATCAAACAAAGCAGTTCATAGGCCACAGAGGGTGGGTTTTAGGAAGAAATTTTATTGTATTATTCGGAGGTGGAGCTTAGTAGAAAAAAATCAGAGATACTGGGTAACTGGAGGAGTCCCGTCGATGGCGTAATGTCATGCTTCCAATCTGAGACACTCTCCAGGATTGATGGCAGAAACTAAAGTGAGCCATGGAGGTGAGCTGGGATGTCACTGACTTTTATGGAGGCCTTTTTTGTGTTAGGTGGACTTTAACTTAGGAATTGGGTGGAGTTACCCAAAGTGTTTACTGAGGCCTTTCCTCTAACTTCAGGTGGTCTTTAGCTGAAGAATTCAGGCATTAGATACTCACCATTACACACAAAGTCTACTGGGTCAGTGACCAGTGGGTTTTTGTCTCATGACTTTGAAGAGTGAAATTCAAGGCCCACAGAGGGGGAGTTTTTCGGAAGAAGGTTCATTGTAGATTCATAGGTGAGAGTTTGAGAGAGTTAGAAGGAGGAACTCCTGGGTGGCAGGGGCAGATCCAGGAATGGGTGTCAGCAGGCGCTATGCTGTGTAGCTTCTTGGCAGGGTTCTCAACCTCAGGAGAAGAGACAACAAGGAAACAGGGGCCAGAGCCCTTCTGGCATGCCTGTTTCCTGTCAGGGAAATCCCTTGAACACTATTGCTTTGGGATCTCTGTCCTACATAACCAGTTTCTGTCTCCTGTTCTCAGCATAGTGGACATGTGCTTAGCACATCCAGACATCAAAATATAAATTGAGAAAAATCTAACAAATGCTTTATATTGATTCCACATCATGACTGAAATCAATTAAAGACCTTCCCCAAGCTTCTGCAAGACTTAAAACACCTCCACATGAGTGGCTTGAAGGAAAGCGGATTCTTTCCACTATAGGTTAAGCACTGTCTGCAAGAGAGTTTTTAAGGACAGACCACTAGATTTCAAACAAAGCCAACATGGAGCCCAAGCCTTGAACTTCTTGCAGGTAGTAATTTTACATTTGTCTTAAAAAGAAAAATATCGACTGAGCAACCTTAGGAGGACACGACTAAAGCAGGTGTTTTTACTTTTAATTCTAAATCAACAAATAAATACTTGCAACGATTACTGTTCATTTATAACCACCCCGTCTATGTATTTCTTTAACTTGATAGAGAAATGATTACTTTTTATCACTATTTTTATTTGCCAAAGAAGCCTACAAAGTGGCACGAAGTATCTGAATTATTCTATTGAATAGTAGCAGCAAGATTTCACCACCATTATCAAGTAATTGATAAGTGTACACACACACACACACGTATGCACACATGCCAGAATCCTGCAGTGACTTCTTCTCAATTAGAAAAAGTTAAAAACCTTTTAAATTCTGCTTTCTATTCCCAGACACCCGTCTAATTTCACTACTAGCATGCTCTTCTTGGGCCTTTGACACACAACTGTTCTTTTGTCCTGGACCATTCTTCTTCAAAGTTCCAGGTGCCAACTCACCTTCTTGTCCATGTTTCTTCTTTGTGACACTCACCAAACAATAATTAAATGTCCTTTATATGGCCAGATTACGGTCACTATATCCCTCAAGTGTTTGTTTTTCTCTTTAGAACTTAACCTTCATATAACATATTATATATTTAAGTTCATTTGTATGCTGTTAGCTTACCTCTGCCCACATCATTAGCTCCCAGTAGATGACTCCCATCATACAATAGTAAGAAGTTGTTTTTTTTTTTAAATACATTGCTTCATTGTCATTCTCTATCATCTAAAATAATATCAGTGGCGCTAGAGACATAATTTAGGTAAGAATGTTTGCTGTTCTTCCAGAGAACCCAAATTCAGTTCTTAGCTCCCATGTTTGGGAGCTCACAATTGCCTATAATTCTAGGCTCATGGCATCCAACATCGTCTTCTGGCCTCTGCAGGTACCTGGACTCACATGTACATACCCAGCACAGATCCGCGCTCATACACACAAGTAAAAGTAAACTAAATCTTAAAAACATAACAGTTTAAACATGAGAAAATACAGTACCCGTTTACCAAGTAAATTACACATGCCTACCAGAGAGACAAAAATGATCAATGAAGACCCTCAATTGGAAAAACAAGCAAATAAAAACCCATCACGAGACTATGGTGACCATTGCTGATGGTAGCTGGAGATGGTGAGGTGAGAGAAAGCTTTTGAAGATGAGAACCGTGTGCCAGTGGGGAGCCTGGGGAACCAGAGGGCACAGATTCAGAGGAAGCCTGTTACCCAAGAGACCTGGAGCTAAAATGTCCCCCGGAACTGTAGTCACCAAAATTAAGGGAAACTCTCTGGTCAATAATGACAGAAAGAGGGGCCAGACCCCAAAGTAGACCTTTATAAAATAATTCCTGAAGTTTGATTTTCCATACTACTAGAAGCCATGTCTTAAACTGCCATATTGAAGGTTGTCTTAAGCGGTCACTTCCCCTTTGTGGCTCTTGCTGCCAGGGTTTCTTGTGCTATTGGTTTGCTCAGCAATGCATGGCTGGCTAAGGGCATCTGTAGGCCTGTGTTGTTTGATACCCCAGGCAGTCAACCATCTAAGTCACTGATGCTGATCATTCTGGTCTGTGCTGTTGAATCAGTACAATGTGGGCTTCAAATTACAGCGTAATTTGAAAGTTGCTTCTTTAGCTTTGTACCCAGAATCAATAAGTGATAAATGGACGTGGACCATAAAGTCTAGTACTGCAAAGTGACGCTTCTGGATATGTAAACAAGGCACTCACCAGGTTACAGTAGGTTAGACTGTGAAAGCCTGTAGCCAAAAAGCCTAGCCCCAAGTAGGCATCTCTCACGCAGCCCTGGGTATGCGGCTTCCCATTTAGCACATCTGAGAGCCCACCACCTGCTGTCTACTTGTTTGGGAGGCTGTTTAGTCTTGCAGTGATGTCTCATTTTCCCTTAGAAAAGGCCTATTTCTTGGTAGCATTGTTACAAACAGCACTTAAAAGAGACAAGGGAGGAGACTGCATGATTTTTAGCACAGCTGATCCCGTTCCCTCCTGAAGGTCGGCCCCTGTAGGTGTTTGTTTTTGCAACCCCTGGTTAGGTTTTCTCTATAGATGCAGAGAAATTGTTACTCTCAGTGGTTTAATGATTCATCGGACTTGACATTAACAATTTTTTAAAATTGTGACTTACCTGCGTCTGACTGACTCTCCCTGCCCGTGTTACCACCAAGAGTGAAGAAGTTTAAATTAATGCTTTATCCAGCAAAAAGATTTGGGGACTGTAGTCTGTCATGTGTAAAATCTATTCAGCTCTCCTTAGCACAGCCCTTGAATATTCCCTGTGGCTTGGCTGAATTGACTGGAAACAAGATAAGTCATCTAAATTCCGCAGGTATTGCCATTCCTAGCAACCAATTTGATTTTTGATGGACAAAGAGCCCCCAGGAAAGTATATGCCTTTGTATCTGAGAAAAAAGAAATCCCCAACAAGATAGACATACCCTCATCAGCATGCTCCCGGTATGACAGCGTGCAAGTGAGTGATCCATTTTGTTCTGAACTCTGGCTCTGCCAACGCGGTACGCGCTTTAGCAGAACAAATCAAAGGAATGTATTTGACTTGTGTTTTGGCATCTGAAAACACGAAGCCATATTTCCTCATGCGGCATTCTTCCTATCCCACACTTTTTTAATTTGAGCTCTTTCTCGCAGACGCCATTGCCAGAATGAGAATGAAAAGTAAGAGTGAACCAGGGTGTCATTGCTCACCACGCTTCCCAATGTTACAGCAAGTGCTGTCTGTGGTTCAGAGTACCCGACCCCAAGAAGACACTCAGTCCTTGACTATGCAGTCAGCGGGCACAGATTTCATTCCACGGCTCCCGTTCCTTCTGCAGGTCCATGTGACAGCTATGCGTGGAATTTTAAAGGGGACCTTTGAAGAAGCTGACAGCGCCTCCCTCTGCTCCTCTGTGCAGGAATCAGATGATGACGTTTTTAGCTGTGGCAGTACTGAGAGTCTTGATAGTGTCAGTCTGTCCATACCTGATCATTTACCCGTGAGTATCTGAAGCTCTATTTCATGTTTCCTTCCTCTACATCATTTTTGGATGGTTCGTTCTAGGGGGCTTCAGCTTACTTAATTCTACTTCCAAATTCTTTATCATACAAATGCATCTGAAAGTATCATTGTTTAATTAGTCCTCAAGGTATGTACCCCCTCATATCTCTAATGGGATGGGTCTGGAGGAGGCAGAATTTAATCAGCAGTAAGCAGACAGCAACTGAGAATCATTTCATTTCATCTTGGCTTTCTAAACTAGGTCTTTGTTTGAGAAATCTAATTAATGGTACCTGATACTGTAATCACGGTCAGTGGGTTGGGAAGTTTTTGACATCCAAGTGTTGTACGCTCACGTAGACTAGACTTGATTTTGTAATTTTGAAGATCAATCCCAGATTCTTGCACATGCAAGGTGCGTACTTTGCCACTGAGACGCATCCTTAGGACAGAGAAATGGGGAGGAGAGGGGAGGGGAGGGGACAAGGGAAGAGAACCACCAAGCTTGATGAACTCAGTCAGATCATTGGGACCCACATGGTGGAAGGAGAGAACCCATGCTTGAAAAGTGTCCTCTGACCTCCTCATACATGCCTGCATGCATATGTACATACATAGAAATAAATAAATAAATGTGATATAATAATTAAGTGGATTTCAGAAGAAGATATGCTGCTACAAAATCCAGACTCTGAAAGGTCTGAAATTTTACAGACAGGCAAAACGCAGATGTGAGGCTAGGCTCAACTAGAGTAAAGATGTCTTTTTTCACATATCTAAGGAGATTAACGTGAAGAAAATGCATGGTATCGTAGGATATGTTCTCATTTATCACCCCACCCATTTTCCTGTAGTACGTATTCTAATTGTTCTTAATAAAAACCTGGAGTCAGATAAAAGGGGGTGAAAGCTAAGAGATCAGAGTAGAGCGATCAGCCACTAGAGAGACCTTTTACTTCTACCGATGCTCAGGTCAAAAGGGTGATCCTGTCTTTAGATTGCCTCCGCCTCCCCAGACTGTGTCCTTTGACTGCTCTGAGCTCTTGTCTTCTCCCACTTTATATTCCTCTCTCTGCCCAGCCATATCACTCCTCTTTCCACCTCCTTAGTGCTGGGATTAAAGGCATGGGATCCCAAGTGCTGGGACACCTTTGTGTGAGCTCTGTTTCTCGGTTAGACAGATTTAATCTTGTGTAACCCAGTGTGGCCTTGAACTGTCTCCTGAGTCCTGGTATTAAAGGTGTATGCTACCATGCCCTGGCCTCTAGTAACGTCTCTCTGCACTCTGATCTTCAGGCAAGCTTTATTTGTTAAAACACAGATAAAATATCATTACACTTTTTTAGTGACAGTTATTGTAAAATTGTGCATTTAAGTGAAGTTTTGACATAGGGAAGCTTTTTTTTCCCCTATAATTCTGTCCATTTGGTCCTAATCACTAAAGGAAGCTGAGCCTTGAAAACATGTTATTATTGTTGCTTTGCTTCATTTTAGTTCGACACTAGTGCTCGAACCCAGAGCCATGCACAGCTACATCACAACTGAGTCCCATCCCAATCATTATAATTATTTCTTTAAAATTTGTATTTGTGTGTATGTGTGTGTGCGTGCGTGCACACAGTATATTTGTGGAAATCAGAGGAAAACTTGCAAGATCTCTCTTTCCATTATACGAATCCAAAGGAATGAACTTGGGTCATTAGACTTGGTGGTGAGTGCTTTTACCTGCAGACCCTAAAATTATTTCCTAAAAGTGTTCCTATACTGAGCATATCAGCAGAGCCTCGACAGAATGTCCCACTTGGCTTTCTATTGCTGTGAAAAAGGTCTTGATCAAAAACAACTTAGGGAGGAAAAGATTTATTTCAGCTTATGGTTATATTGCATCAAAAAAGTAAGTCAGGGCAGGAACTCGAGGCAGAGTCCTGGAAACAGGAACTGAAGCAGAGGCCTTCAAGGGATGCTGCTAACTGGCTTACTCTCCATGGCTCATGCTAGCTGCTTCTTTTTATATAACCCAAGATCACCTGCCTACAGGTAGAACCAACAATGGGTTGGACCCTTCCACATCAATTGTCAAACAAGAAAATGTTTGATGATTGCCTACAGGCCAATCTGATGGGGACATTTTCTCAATTGAGGTTCTTTGTTCACATACTACTCTAGTTTGTATCTAGTTGACAGAAAAAGCTAATGTGACAACAAGGTAAACTTGACTTCAAGTTTAATTTTTGTGTTGAATAATTTCTGTCCTTTATAGTAAAGGTAAAAATTATTCAAATGAATTAATACAGTATTTTTATGTAGAGTTTTATATCTTTCCTATTGTTATTTAGAGATTTTTAATCTCACAGAAACATCCTCAAAAGTCTTACTAACCTTTATACAGATCTTTCTGTGAACCCTAAAATTCCATTTTTGTGCCTTCTACTTCTCACTCAAGGTTTAAGAATTTTTTTTGGTACCTGGTCATACTCCATCATTACTAGAAGAATGTAGGACTCAAAATCAGATCAAATTTTGTAAGAACTTTTAGGCTCTGTGTTACTTATCTCTTGATTAATGCAGAACTTTTTAATGAACTTGAGACAAGTGCAAAGAGTAGAAGGTTCCCGAACCCTTGGTAAGAGAGAAGATAGCTGTGGTTTGGAAGTAAGATTGTTTAGAGACATTGTCCAGACAATGTATTTTGGGAGACCGTGCCTTTTTTTTTTTTTTTTTTTTTTNGAGACCGTGCCTTTTTTTTTTTTTTTTTTTTTTTTGTTTCCTGCTCTTCCACACCTTCCTCCAAACAGCTGTTCCCTTGAGAAAGGCCTGGACGCTGGCTTTATATCTTGCTACGACGCTCAATGCCTAGAATGGCATACAACATTCATTTGATGATGTTTCAATTTCTTTATTGAGCAAACAAATCCATTCTGATAGTTCTTTTATTCCCTTTTGATGTTGTGCTGGAGTTGGATCTTGTGCTTTGTATGTCCTTGACAAGTTCTCTAACACTGAGTTACACTCCCTGCCACAATTCAAAATTTTCAAATGCCGTAAGAACGAGTCAACATGCATTGTATGGAATGCCAAAGAATTAGGTCAATTTTTTTTTTCCTTAAAAAAGAATGAGTCCACTGGAGGCTCACATCGTTAAAAACGCAGTAGTCCACATTGAATGCAAGACTGTGGGGAAGACCCTCCAACAGTGCTCCTTCTCTGTGCTTGGAGAGTTGCCTTTTCACGCTGACCACTGGAGAAACTGGGCAGCATTTCTCAATCATTTTCCAGTCAGGCACTCCTGAAAAGCATCCTTGTATAAGAGGCTGCTTCCCCGAGGAAGCCCCTAATCTGATAGCACAGAGTACTAATCTAGTAGTACAGAAGAGCAGGTTGCACACCTCTGTGATTTTCTTTCTCCTTAAGCTCCAATAGTTTTTCAGCATCCTTGGCATCCGTGCATCTCCTAAAGTCTCAAATTGGTTCTCTCCTGGAAAAAAAAAAATCAATCTCAAGACTTCTCTATGCAAGATGTCAATTGATTTCTGCGGCTTGTGAGCTCACAGAGTACCTGTAACGTTCATTTAAGCACCATCGGATCTCACAGATGTGGTTCGAGAAGCATTCCGGATGAGAGTGATGTTCTGGCACCTTAGGGAAGGCTAGAGAAAGTGCGGGTACAGCAGTTGATCGGAACATTTGAGCAGTTTCCTGGAAGAATAGAAGAGGCAGGTGGGAGTTTCTTTCCAAAATAGATTGGATATGTGGTAACTACTCCATTACCTCTTTAGGGCAGCCTGTAGAGGAGGAGACTCAAACCCATCGTGGTCAGAGAAGTCTTAGGTGGTAAGCCTTGCTGAGTTTCTTTTCTGTTGGGGTCTTGGTGGTGGTTTGTGTTTTGTTTTTCCCATCTGTCAGCTTGGGTGATGAACTTGACTTGGTGATTTTTTTTTTTCAGTGTTGAAAGGGAATGTCTGCTGATTCCCCTTTGGAAGGGAATGTTAATGTTTATCATTTGATAAATTGCAACTGAGAGCTGTGAGTGGGGCCCCACCAGGATGAAGAAGAGTGGGCAGACATGATATTTTGGAGACTTTTCTGTCACTGTGGGCTGCACTCGGTCTAGTCTCAACTTCAAAGCCTTATTAACTAATGGGAAGCTGGGAAAAAAGAAGAAACCCCACAACCCCACATCTTTTTCTTTAAGGGAAACTGATGACTTGGTGCAGGCTAACACAAGAGACAGCACTAGTGCTGAATCTCATTTTACGACACCAGGAATATTAGCTGGGCTGGAATATTAGCTGGGCTGCCTCTCGCGCTACAGCTGTGGAGACCAAGACCACGGAGAGGTCTTGACAAGAATAAAAATGTGAGCTGTGGCAGAGTAGTTAAATGGCAACCTCTAGACCCCGCCTTTCTACCCAACCGTGCAGCTCCATGGTTTACTTACTTGACTGACTGGTAAGTATGGCGAACCAGCTCGTCGCGGCTGTGACGTGGCTGCTGCTTTCCTGCCAACTCCTCCTAGATGGCAAGTGCACCTGTCTTTTGGCAAACGCCAATGAGTCAAGAAATGGTATAGCAGAGAAGTCACGCTGTGCGTGAAGTGGCAGTCTGCTTCCCCTTTCTGCTAGGAAGCGACTGGGCAGGTTTTCCTCGTGTGTCGCTGATGGAAATATCGCAGAGCAAACACGTCGTACATTTGCGTGAAAGAAATTGGTTTGTCCTTGGGGCATAATGCTTCTTGTGAGAGTGATAGAAATGTTGCCATGAAAAGGGGGTGAGCCGAAGAACGCAGAGAGGATCTTGAACAGCAGCTAGCTAACCCAGGGCTGTAGTGTGGGGCGGTATTCTTTTGGCCCATTAGCTTCTAGCCTCTTACTGGCTAATTCTCACATCTTGATTAAAGTGTAGCACCATGAGGTGGTAGCTTACCAGGAAGATCTTAACCTGCATCCGTCTCGGAGAGGAGAGCTATGGCGACTGTCTGACTCGGCTTCTTTCTCCCAG